ACTCCCAGACAAGGGGAAGAGAGTCTCGCAAATAAAATGCACACTCCATGCGGCTCCTGAGAGAGCACAGTGATTTCCCCCAGGGATTGAAGAAGGAATCCAAGGAGGACTAATGGCAACAGTGTGTCACTCAGTGGAAGAATGACAGTCAGACACCTGCTGAAGGAGAACCAGTGGGATGTAACAGAAATGGAAGAGAGAGGTGTGGCATCACAGAGCTGACGGTAGGAGCTGGGGTGTCAGGAATTAGGATGAGGGAAGGGACGTGCCAATCTCCCTGGGGCCCCCCATCCTCACCCCCAGGAAGGTTGTAAGGAAAATGCTGGGGAGAAAGTGGGTGGTGATGTGTTGGTTATGGGGGCAGAGGTAGAGTGCCTGAGCATTTCAACAGCCATCTAAACCAATGCTAACCTCCAGGGCTGCACGCAGCTGATTTCCTGTTTTAACTCTTGTTTCTTTCAGTGCTGGAGATGCTGCTGGTCTGCAGTGGCGAGCGACCAGGCTAAGAGTGCTCCAGTTTGCTCCTTTTCCTGCCTGAGTTTTGTTTTTACTTTTTTTTAATTCAAGAAATTTTTATTGTGTGTGTGTGTGTGTGTGTGTGTGTGTGTGTGTAGTGACCACAGAGGCCAGAAGAGGGCGTTGAATCCCCTGGAGTTGGAGTCACAGGCTGTTGTGAGTTGCCCAACAGCGGTGCTGGGACTTGAACTCTGGTCCTGTGCAATAGCAGTAAGCTCTCTTAACCACTGAGCCCCTCTGCTTATTTTTAAGTGAGTCAGTACTCCAGCTGGTTTCACACATGGATTACCTCAGGAATTCTCATGTATTTATAGAGATCAAAATTCTACTCCACCACCTATTTGTCTTTCTGGGAAGGTTAGCAGGTCTAATATTTGACTAGTGGGCTGTGCCCTTTAAAACAGGATGTTTATGGACACTTCAGTCACTCCTTCCCCAAGGGCATGAGTCACTGAGTCGAGCCATGCAATGAATGGCCCACTGCTCTTCCTGGATTTTAGGACCATCCAGTCATTTCCACCACAGCTGCATCTGCCCCTACACACGGGGGAAGAGCGGCAGAGAGGACTTTAAACACTCAGGGCGCGAGGTGAGACTCACATAGCAGGCAGGCCCTCAATTCCTTCAGAGGTATCCCACGCCCCTTGGGGTCTGGTATGGGGGTGTCCAGGAGGGAGGGGCTAACAAGTGGGGCCAGTAACTGGGTGTTCACTCTAAGGTTTGCTTTGGCACTGCTATGTGTTTACATAACGTTAAAATAATAACACACAATAATCTGATCTGTACTTAAAGCTTAAAAGACCAGGTGACAAAATGAATCCAAACACAGGGAAGATGGGCTTCCCCTGGAGCCACTTCTCTGGAATGCGCTCTGTCAACTCAGGACAACAGGACAAAGGAACCTTGATGCAAAGATCACAGGGGCAGAGCTAGAAAAACTACAAAATTAAACAACCAGCTGCCTTCTACAGTAAGTTTCAAAGGGGAGAGAGGGAGAGAGAGGGGAGAGAGAGATCCCCCCCACACAGGGAGAGACAGAGAGACAGAGACAGAGACAGAAGAGACACAGAGACATACCTACACACAGAGAGAGATCCCCCCACACAGGGAGAGACAGAGACAGAGACAGAAGAGACACAGAGACATACCTACACACACACACAGAGAGAGAGAGAGAGAGAGAGAGAGAGAGAGAGAGAGAGAAAGAGACATCTCTGCATAATTTGTAGATAAAATGAGATAGATAGCAAACTGAGCTTGGCTTGGAGGCATTGGAGTCCCAGCGCCAGGGAGGCTGAGGCAGGAGGACCTTGAGTTTGAGGCTAGCCTGGTGTTCTAGTTACTTTCTATTGTTGTGATAAAAACGTTAAGCAAAACCAACTTGGGGAGGAAAGGGTTTATTTGGCTTACAGCACAATCCATCATCAAGAGAAGCCAAGCCAGGAACTCAGGGCCGGATCCTGGAGCACAGGCCATGGAGGAACGCTGCTTACTGGCTTGCTCCCCTGGCCTGTGCTCAGCCTGCTTTCTGACACAACCCAGGCCCACCTGCCCAGTGGCTTTCCCCCCCCCCCCCCCCCCCGGCTGGGTCCTTCCACATCACTCAACAATCAAGAAAATGCCCCACAAACATGGCCACAGGCGACTCCAATGGAGGCAATTCCCCAATTGAGGCTCCCTCTACCCAGGTGTGTCGAGTTGACACTGAAACATCCAGCACACATGGCTACATTGCGAGACCCCCCCGCCCCCCGCCCCGTCCACACACACCGTCAGAAGAAAGAGGAGGAAAAGGGACGAGCAAAAGAAGAAACGGTCAGTGACCAAACGCAAGGGTTGTCCTTATTTGGAGATGGGTGGAGAAGTCTAAACAGGTCGACACTAAGACTCACTGAATTATTTTGGTTATAGTAACGATTATGTGAGCGAAAAAAATGATAAGAATAACCAGAAACAGTACAGAAGTCATTCCCACCCTGGCACCCCAGCGAAAGCTCACTGGGTATTCTCAGCTGGGCAACCACCTCCTTCCTCAGCCTCCCCCTCTGCGACTGGGGACAACAGCAGCCACATGGCAGGGTCACCTGGGGATGAGGGGGATAACAGGGATGGAGCTCTCGAAGTATCAAGTGTGAATCCCTTGGTTGCTGAGCCTGTCTGACCAGCTGCTGGTGACACACAGCAAGCTCCTGAGGGGGCCACAGGCTACAGCAGGCTGCTCAGGTGAGGCCTCACAGCTGACAGGGGTGAGGTCAGAGCCAAGGTGAGGATGTGGATGTCCCCATTCAGCCCAATGTGGTCTTCTTTGGGGACTAAGGGCAGGGGGTGGCATGACCTGATTTGGGGTTTTAAAAGATGATTCAGGGCTGTGGGAGAATGGACAGGAGAGCAGTGAGGGTGGAGGAAGGAATGAGTCGGTAGGGTCCCCCTCGGTGTCTGTGAGAGAGCTGGGGTGGCCTGACCTGAGGCTGGCATGGAAGGTGGTGAGTTGTACATATACTGAAGTCATATGTGGATGGGCTTGCTGGTGTGTGAATGAGAAGAAGGGGACCAGTGAGAGTTCTGGGATCTTCAGATCACAGGGTGCAGATTTCACGTCTCATCTGTAGGTTGAACAGGGGTCCATGAGTCAGCAGGTCATAGGAATGGTCTTAGCTGACAGTACAAATGTGAGACTTGTCATGCAGGCCTACTGTGTGACCACTGTGGCAGCCACTGACCACCAACCACATGTGCTACTGAAGTTTAATAAAACAACAACAAAATGGTTTAGCCATCAAGTCCTCCATAACTGCGGGAGGTGGGTGAACGGCTCCCACACTGTGAGGCCCTCTCTAGAACATTCCCACCACTGCAGGTTGGGCAGTGCTGGGCTAAAGGCCATTTAACCTTGGCATGGCTGGGGTGCAGCTCAGGGGTAGAGTAGTAGCCTGGGCAAGGCTCTGGGTTTAACCCCAGCAATGCAAAACCCAAAGAAAAAGAACTCCCTCCTATTACCCCTCAGAACAAAACAAACAACAAAACAACACAAAACAAAACAACAAAGCAACAGACAAACTCCTCAGGGCTGACCCAGGCCACTGTGGAGTGAATGCACAGAGGGAAGATTAGGGCTGAACTCGGGGCCCTGGACCACCCAGAGGTGAATATTTAAGAAGTGTAGGGTGCATCCCCAGCAGAGGAGAGAGAGGAGGAAGGGTTTAAATTCCAGCATATGGGATCCCGCCCCCCTGCCCCAAGAAAGGGCTCAGAGAGTGCAGAGCCTGCTGTTATTATTTTTCTAAGAAGTTAGAATGAAATAAAACTGTATTTCTATAACTTGCTATTTCTGCTCAACAATGTCTTGTGAACTGCTTATGTCAAGTCATTTTCACAACTTTATTTCTAATGGGTGCCAAGAAATCCACCTTGGAGTGCACTGTTTAAACTTGCTCGTTCCCAAAGCCTGGGAGTCTGGACGGTGACCTTCCCCGGCCTTTCTTGGTTGATTGTTGGTGACCTGTCTGCTTAGCAAACTGACCCCTTGGCAAACCTGCCTGTGGTGAGCCGCCTTGGGCACAGCGCCCACCTAATGCACAGTCCCAACTGTAAGGTTTGTGTGGTGTATTTCACAATGAATTTGGCGTCACGGTTTTCCCAGCATTCACTTTGCTTGTCGCCAGCCTCGGTCGGCTTCTTCAAGCTGGCCCCACCCATTTGGAGGACGCCTCAAACACCCAAAGCTCAGCCCCACATTTCTAGACCTGTTGAATTTGCTAGAGTCTCATCGAGGGTCCTCTGAGGACTAGTTTCCTCTTCTGCTGATTCAGAGAGGACAACATAAGGAACTAAGGCTAAATACAGAAGCCAAGGAAAAACAGAGATGTGTCACAGAGAGCAGGGTGCTGTGGCGACAACACCCGGGTGGTTATGTATATCGAGACTGGTCACCAGATTTAATTTTGTGATGCTTACTCTGCTGAACCAATTTAAGCAGTGAGAAGCCAGTTTTTATTTTGTGTGTGTTTCAATCTTGGCTTTTCAAACTCTGTTCTACTCAGGCTGAGCAGAGCCTTAAGCTTCCTGTGTTGACTTCACCATGCTCCTTCCCGCCTGCCCTGGGACCTATGCCTTAGAATCTGCTGCGTCCTGGGGTGGGATCTGTGAGCGGATTTACCACAGGGAGAAGCAGTGCTACCTTTAACAGCGGATTTACCAGGGCAGCGAACAAAAAACAGTGAAGGAAACAAAGAAGAAACCGGTCAACAATCCACTGTCCCTGTCTCCTGGTCTCTCACCAGCCAGACCGGTGTTTGCACAGTGAGAGCCAGGCAAAGGCATGTTGCTTGGGCCCCAGTGATTTTGTAGCTGACTCTGCAAATGTCGCTCCAGTACTCTATGGGAGGGCATGTGTATACAACCTTTCCCCATCTGACAGGCATTTGGGACTTTTAGTAAACCTGCTCCCTAACCCCATGGCTGTTGAGAGCACCAGGACAGCCACACCAACCCCTGCTGGCTCTTTCTGCACAAACAGCAGAGAGATCCTGGCTGTGGCCGGCCCACCAACATAGAGGTGCTTTGAAGAGCCGTCCTATCCAAAGAGTATTTAGAGGTAACCTGGGGGTGTATCTCTGTGAAATAACCAAAGGAGTGTAAAATAAGGAAAGATAGATGTCAGAGGGAGTGAGCCATCCACATGCAAAGACACCTGGAATTCCACTAAACCTGGGACAGGGGAGGGATGCCAACTTTTTCTGAGTCCCTGGAAGCACCCTGAACTCTGCTCCCTGCAGAGCGAGGTCCCCTTCCTCTGCGGGTCAGTGAAGACGGGAAACGGAAGGGAAGGCAGATAAATGTAAGATATTTGAAATAAAGGCTGGCCACATCAGGTCTAGGTCTGCCTTGGAGACAGGGTAGGAGGTCCAGTTGTGCCCTTGGGTGGAGAGAAGGCTGGCGGCAGCTCTGATGGCAGCTGCTTGGAAAGTGGGCACAGGCTGCTGCGGGCACCAAGCCTGTGCTGGAGTGTGGCTTCATGAAGCCCCAGCAGGACTGATCTTGCCCCGAGCCAAGCAGGGATGGTGGTAAAGGAACTGGGTCAAGATAGAGCTGGTTCACGATGAAGATCTAGGGGCACAAGGTAGGGAGGAATGTAGGAATGACTCAGAGAGATTGCGCTGACTGGTCATCCCATAACACTGAGCCTCTTACTGTATGCTGTGCCGGCCTTGGACTGGGCTTGTCTCTTGGAGATTTGTCTGGATTCTGTTCTGTCTTGGGTCTCAGAGTGTCTTCCCTGCCTGACGGTTCCTTGTCTCCTTTGCAAGCTTAGCACACTAAGGTCAAGGCTCAACTTTATCTTAATTTTCTCCTCTGGCACCTAAACAGCACTTTTTCCTCCCAGCTTTGAATATTGGGTCAGCTGAGCCATGCCCTCAACCTGAAAACGTCTACATGGCAGTGCCTAGACCCGGTGGCTGTCACAGTATGTGGTGAAAAGCAGATGACAGGTCTGCAGAGGGCTGGAAGTCAAGATCCCGAGATGGGAAGATTCTGGACTATCTGGATGGTAAGTCCCTAAGTGTCATCACAGGTGTCCTTATAAGGATAATGGGGGGGGAGGGAGGGAGGGAGGGA